GATCTGTAAGGTCCCTTCCAACCCAAACCATTCTGTGATTCTATATAACAGGTTCTCAAAGAAATCCTAACTGTTCATGGAAAGCTATTAAAAGAATTGGCTGTTCTTGCTTGTGCAATTTCCACTGAGTAGAAGCATCCACAGAGATCAATCAATCCCATTTTCTTACACTCTTGGGCAAAGCTGCTGCCCTCTTACCACTGAAGCCTTCCCCAGCTGAATCATCAGAACCCCCGTGATACACAGCAGTCTATTTACATTGTACACTAACTTCGTGACAGCACACAAGATGTTCAGATGCATGTCTGGACTCTGAAAGACAAGATGCTGATGGTCATGGATTCAGTGACCACAAACTGACCTCATGTCAGTCCTGATTGTACACTAGCCTGCTGCTGCACCATTTAATTTTTTTTTTTTAACTTTGATGCCTGAGACTCAGCTACAAGAAACCTAGGGTTCAAACTACAGAGATAACACTGGATGCCACAAGCTTCCTTAACAAGTGTAAGACATAAGGGAAAACAGGCAGATGGTTTCTTCACAGTGCTTGTTTTAGCTACAGAAGAAAGGTGGACAAGAGTCCAGAACAAAACAATATACTGGCTCAGGACTTGCAACAAACCTAGTTTCATAGGAAACATTAACAACAAGCAGAGAAAAAGCATACAGGGATGAAAGATGCTCTTTGAGAATCTTGTTTCTTATAAATGGTTGTCAGTTCTTCTCTGCTTTCCCTCAAAGCTCATAATGAGGAGGGTGATCCACAGCAACACTGGACAAGTTTCTCAGTTGGATACGCTTTCTAGCCTACTGAAATGAAACATAACAGTTTTACATTAGAGTCACAGGTCTCCAGACTATAACCTTAGATAAAGCACAGCAAAACACAGTCCTGTCTGGAAGTCTATCTCCTGCGAGGGTATGCAAACCAACCAACAGGCTTATCAGCTAGGTTTCATACACTTCTAAAAGACACAAGTCACCGGTTCATCCTCCAGAGGATGTTGTGTGGTGAAACACAGTCCAACATGAAACGAGTAAAGTACTGAAGCAAGACAGAGGCTGCTGGCGGAGCAAGAGGGGAGACTGGAAACTCAGGCCTGTTTCTTGGCCACTGCTCTGGAATTAAGACACAAGTTATGCAGACTGTCCACTCCAGGTACAGTGTGACCCAGGCCTTGTATCTACACAGCTTACAAAATAAGAGATGGTGGCCCTTCCTCACAACGAAAAATGGCTCGTTTCTCAAACCTGCACCTGCTCATTCTCCTCTACTAAGGATCACCATTAAAATTACACAACATAAAATCACTTAATAAAGAAATTTACATCATTTAACAGAAAACATCAATAGAAGTCAGTCATGCTCAAAAAAAACCCAAAACTGCTATGACTTCATTAGGCGCTTCTACAGTTATTTTTGTTTCCAAAAACATCAGCTTTCTTATACTAACTTTACCTTCATCCCCTAACTGACATTTTGAGCAACTCTATCTGTGAAATTAAAAATGTTGCCCTGACACTCCTAAAGCACATCTCAGATGCCTATACACAAATCACAACATATTATAATAGAGAAGTGACTTTCCCACAAACACACACTTTTACTGCAGGAACATGGCACAAGAACCCCAACAGGTCCACGTGTGCCCTAGATAAATAACAATAACCTCGTGGTCACTACTAGCAATGCAGTTAGATACTTACCAGCAGCCAAGCTAGTCAGAAAGCAGCACCGATACTGCAGCCCAGGCTCCACGCGGCAGTGCGGCTGCAGAGCCGCGGCCGACACCCGGGGAAGAAGCGGGCGGGGAGGCCCAGTGCTCCCGGGAACTCCCCAGCCGGGAACCGCGGCTCACAACTCACCCCTGCCCCGGGGAAGGCTGAGCAACCTTCACGCCGCCCTCACGAAGCCTTACCCCTTCCCGTAA